AAAAAAAAAAAAAAAAAAAAAAAAAAAAAGAAAACAGATGCTATATATGTAATACAAACAATAATCTCTGGAGTGATATTTATGCTATATATTAAGAGATTCCATATATGTTGACACAAACTGTAATCTCTTTAAATGATATTAATTAATAAATTTCAATTGTACAGGAGATATACACACGAGGCTGTAAGATATAATTGAACTCCCCAGATATTCCACAATAGTTTTGCTCCCATTTGCATAACGAGATTACAGTTTGTGTCATTTAAAAGAGATTAGTAATTAATTGCATAAAAGTGTGAGACCCACAAGAAATTGTCCAATCCCATCATGGTTAGTAAAAATTGGAGTTATCAACCATATCCTATCCTATCAGCTTAAGTAAACGAGGAGTAAGGATCTTTACAAACCAAATCACAATGCCTAACCAACGGTCACCTTGTTAGAAATACTTGCCCGGGACCAGTTAACGAGGACCTACCGACTCTAGTGATCATATCAACAAAGAACAAAGAAAACGAGAAAATAAAAATAAAGATAAAGACTATACTACGCTTGCAATTCGAAACAACACCGTATCAGTTGTCAACCAAGTAGCAGGTAAAACAACTTTGTTCAAGCATTTCACCCTAGGACAAGCAAGCAAAATAAGAACAAGGCCGTACTATTATTACAAATCAACACACATTTACCGGAGAATTAAAAACATATGTTCACCAAAACATGGAAGTAGTCTCCATTATACCGAAGACAGAGCCACTGCAACCAAGCCAGACCACTTATAAATTGTCACCAACAGGGCGCATTTTTATTCTAGCTAGAATATGAAAAAACCACCATGCAGAGGTGGCATTCATAAATGCATACGTCGAGATATCACAGTTACTGAGTGGAGGCAATGTGTTTGATCAAATCAACTACGCGTGTGCTGCAAAGACAAAAAAAAAAAAAACAAATTCAATCAAGGAAAACACTCAACGAAACTAAAAACAACAGATTCTGCACGACAAAAAATGCCTGAACATGCATTGCTATTAGCAAAATTGTTTTAACAAATTGCAAACAGGAAAGATTTCAGAACTATTACCTGTAGCCCCATTCATTGTCATACCACGAAACAAGCTTGACAAAAGTATCACTCAAGGCAATTCCTGCCTTGGCATCAAAAATACTTGACCTGTAATAAGTATCAAATGATGGTTTCAGTAAAATTCGCAATGTTACCGCTGTAAGAAAATATTGCAACAGTTGTACAGTGTGCCATTGTAATAAGAAAATAGTGTTAGCAGCCAATGCTGCTGGTGTATATATAGGAAAATAGGTGATCAAATATATGAATACTGTGGTCACCTGCTGTCACCCACAAAGTCGGTGGACACCACATCATCTTCAGTGAATCCTAAGATTCCTTTCAGATTTCCCTCAGACTCCTCTCTGTGAACAGATCAATGATGATCACATTGAAGTAGACCCGCAAACAAAACCAGTTTGTCACCAAATAATGTGACAGATACAGAAAAAACTAGAAAATGATTGATATCAATGTCATTCTTACTTGATAGCTGCCTTGATTTGGTCATATGTAGCTGCCTTCTCCAATCTCACAGTAAGATCAACGACAGAAACATCAACGGTCGGGACACGGAAGGCCATTCCAGTTAGTTTTCCATTCAGTGCTGGAAGAACTTTCCCAACAGCCTAGAGGTAAACAGGAAGAAACATTAAGACATAGCACAAGGCTTCCAATGGACTAAGGCCGACCTTGAATATATTTTCATTCACTCACATTTATATTTTAATATTGCTTCTACCTAATGATCATACACAATAAATATGTTACATCAACTTTAACCACTGCATTTGCACCCAATACCAATCACTTCAAAATTCATGCTTTTTCTTCACGAGATGTTTTCTTCACTGTTCTCGGACATGACAAAAGTTTACAAATGAATACAAACCAAACCATAACCTAAGTACCTTTGCAGCTCCAGTGCTGCTAGGGATAATGTTGAATGAGGCTGCTCTTCCACCCCTCCAGTCCTTGGCAGACGGTCCGTCAACAGTCTTTTGCGTGGCTGAGAATACATATACTAAAATCAGAATACAGACAAGTAAATTAAAAATACGACAAAATACCATACCTACCAGTAATAGAGTGGACTGTTGTCATAAGACCTTCGACAATACCAAACCTATCATTAATTACCTGCACGTATAAAAATTAAAAAATTTATTAGACATTCTCACAGCATAACCATTACAATACATAAGGCAGCAAACCACAGACCTTTGCCAAAGGAGCAAGGCAGTTGGTGGTGCAGCTAGCATTAGAAACAACATTGAGATCTGGTGTGTATGTCTTCTCATTGACACCAACAACAAACATAGGTGCATCCTTGCTTGGTGCTGAAATAATGACCTTCTTTGCACCACCCTGATTATCGACAAATTTAACATATATCTTAAAGAAGATAATGCATGCATACATTTTTTGCATAGCATGTACGGTTAGGAAACAAGTTAACTGTCAATGAATAGACAGTACATTCCTAAAACAATTATTTATCACAAATCATCAGTTTGCTTCTTTGCCCAAATTTAATGTCATGACCCAATAAAACCCATTCTTTTTCTATCCTTCCTAATTACGGATGTACAAACTTGTATGTCGTTATTACATCAGCAGCCTATACAAAATAAGAGTACATATAGCAAGTAGAAGTATGCAGATAACATTTACTTAGTGCCCACAACAAACAAAGTAAACATTGAAGAGACTGTAAATTCCCACTTATCCAACCTTTAAATGCGCAGCGGCCTTGTCCTTGTCAGTGAACACTCCAGTGGACTCCACCACAAAATCGGCACCGGTTTCACCCCAAGGGATCTCTTCTGGGTTTCTTCAGATCCAAGTTGAATAAGTTAGATAATTAGCTGATAATAGATACCAACAATTACACACAAATACACACACAAAAATTTTGAAGAAATGCTAAACGGTGTACCTGATACCAAAAACCCTGACGGGCTTCTCACCAAAGAGAAGGGTTTTCTCATCCTTAACCTTGAGGTCATGGTGCTTCCACTGGCCATGAACACTGTCATACTTGAACATGTAGGTCTGCAGCCAGCAACAAAACTTACACACTAAACAAATATTTTTTGCCAGAAAATGCTAAACTTAGCAAAAACAGATACCTGTTATAAAGGTACAGAAACATCCAAATATGCATTAATTCACAAAAAAAAATGGGTGAAAGATTGATAATAATCCGCGGTCAATGATGAATGAAATTTATACCATGTTCTCTTAGATCTTGATCATATTAATCCACCAAAAATGGGCTTCTTGGTGCTTTTGTCCATACTTCCAGAACAAACATGGATTTGATGATGTATATAAGAAATTAAAATAAGAAGCAAATAGCACAAAAGTTTATGCAAGTTAGTCCTGAAAGAGTTTAAATTAAGAAGCACCGTACTCATAAGGATGCTACAACGCTTGTACCTCGGAATGCAAAAAACATGTAATAAAATGTACACTGAGATAGGGAAAGAAAAAGAAAAAGGAAGTGACCATGTAATCAACGGAGATGAAGGGGTCGTTGACAGCAACAAGCTCCACATCGTCCCTCTGAAGAGCAACTCTAGCCACCAATCGCCCAATTCTTCCAAACCCTACATCAAATCACCAACCAATTGTCACAACCAATGACTGCTCAAAAATCAGTAACCGGAAAGAAACACGAAAAACGAGTGAAATAAAGTGTTACGAAAATTCAGAGTTGGGATCAGATAAAGTACCATTGATTCCGATCTTAATCTTGGCTGCTGCACCCAGGAAAACAAACGGCAGCAAAACAAGAAGAATTAGACAACGAAAAGTTAGATAGATAATGCGCTACTAAGATGGACTGAGAAATGTAAAGTCAATAACATAAGCAAAATTACCCATTGTTCTTGTTGGAAGATGGAGAAAAACAAGGATTCGCTAGAGAGAATGAAAATGTGAGAGGATAACTGGAGTGAGAGACAGATGAGCGGTGTTTATTGCTGTGGGTTCGGTATGTTGAATCCCATCCGCGAGTTGGTACCACCATACGGATAAGCCGCTAGTTTTTCCACCTACTTTTTCAATAAATTCATATATTTTTTAATTTAAATATTATACTACTTATTAATAAAAATGTAATGTAATATTTCATTTTTATCATAATGAAAGTTTGAAAAACTATATTAATAAAAATATAATATTTCATAGCATAACTCATAATTATATATATTTCATGGCTAAATTGCAAAAACTAGCCACTAATTTATACGGGTTGGCAATTTTAACCACCTTCTTTTCATTTTGGCACCAAAACATTTTAAAATTTCGGTCTTTCTACCCGAATCCGGCCGAAGTCGTCGGAACTCCGCCTGAGAACACCGAAAAAGCCAGCGTGGAACTACACGTGGACACTTAATCCACCTCAGCTCATCTGTCTATAAATATCCCCTTCACGCGTAGCACCTTCACAATTAACAGAAAAATTGGGGAAAAATTGGGCCCAAATTCGAAACCCTAAAATCGCACAGAAAAAAAACCTTAATGCAAATCGGAGAAGAACCCTAGAGATTAAGATGACGATTTGATGACATCCTCAATATACTTGTGAAGCAGTAGGAAGCTAAACTCTCCTCCTCCTCCGTACAGTAAGATTTCTTAAATTTCCGTACAAGTTGTGTTCAATAATTTGCGAAAGTATAACACTATTATCAAGATTGTTGAAGTTCTTTATAATTTGTTTTTTGGTGACAATATAACACTATTAAAAGGTAGTTTGTTTAAAATGTTAGAATTGAAGTGGTGGTCCTTTTGTGTGGTTTTATGTTTGGCTTTATACAGACATGTGGGGACATAACACATGTATTTTATTCATATGAAAAGTTGTTATATTTGCTGATGAAAATTTATTATTTTTTTAATCACAACTCGTGAGAGTGGTCAAATCAGTGTTGTTGTGTACTATGGAGGTCAATTTGTCAATGAACCTAGTGCTTACTATAAGGGTGGTGATTCAATTATCTTTCACTATGTTAATAGTAAAGGAATGAACTTAGATACCCTGCATAGTTTAACTGATGAGGCTGTTGGAAAAGGAAAAATGAGGAAACATTATGTGTTGTGTGGCAGCTTTTAGGGGAGTTTTCACTGATCAAGATGCTAGGACTTGGTTTATTACGCATATACCTCTTAAGGAGATAGAGATTTATGTGGATGTGATAGAAACTGATGAAGACTCTCTTGATTCTGATTACAATATGGAAACTGAGAAAAGTAGTGATGATGATCAGCTGTTTGAGAACAATGTTGATCTTAGTGTGGACACAACTGATAAACTGTCAAAAGCATTTATTGAAAAGGATGGTGGAAAAGAATCTGTTCAAAAAGACTGTAATGAAGCCTCTGTTCAAAAGAACTCTGATGAAGACTCTCCTGATTCTGATTACAATGTGGAAACTGAGCAAAGTGATGATGATGACATGTTTGAGGTAAATGCTGATCTTAGCGTGGACACAACAGATAAGCTTTCAGAAGCATTTGTTCAAAAGGATGGTGGAGAAACCTCTGTTCAAAAAGAGTGTGATGCAACCTATGTTCAGAAAGAGTGTGATGCAACCTCTGTTCAGAAAGATTGTGATGCAACCCTCTATTCAGAAAGATTGTGATGCAACCTTTGTTCAGAAAGTTTGTGATGAAACCTCTGTCAAAAGAGTTATGGTGAAGACTCTCTTGACTCTGAATACAATGTGGAAACTGAGCAAAGTGATGATGATGAGCAGTTTGAGGCTAATGTTGATCATAGTGTGGACACAACAAATCAGTTGTCAGAAGCATCCCGTTTAATGGAAGTGGAAAATGATGAGGAATTGTTCAAGCTTATTGAAGATTATTTTGGGGTGTCATCAGTTCATATATCAACTACAAATGATGTTGCAGAAGAGTGTTATCATAATGAAGCCCCAGTTGAGAATGACTGTGATGAGGACTTCATGGGTTCTGAGTACAATATGGAAGATGATCACATTGATGATGATGATGATGATCATCATCATCTATATCATAACTTTGTTATCATAATGTGGAATGTCCAATTCATGGTTCAGGAGAAGAAAGTGGTAGCAGTGAAGAAGATGTGGTCCATAATGAGGATGACATAGATGATCATATTGCCAATATTGAGGAGGGAGAACAAATGCTTGTATTCAATCCTGCCACTATCTTCAATCATGTGTTTGAGCTTGGGATGCTATTCAGTAGCAAAAAAGAATTTAAGAAAGCTGTCCAAAGTTATGCCATTAAGAGGCACAGAGGTGTGAAGATATGTAGAAGTGATTCTACAATGTTGTATGTTACATGTATTGCAACAGACTGTCCATGGAAGGTGCATCTAATAAATAAGAAGAATGAAGAAACTTGGTTCATCAAGGAATTCATTTGTGAACATTCTTGTCCATGTAATTTTCAGGTCAGAAATGTGAACTCATCTTAACACTCACTTGAATGATTATAAAGAAATGTGAACGGACTTATATGAACTCATCTTTTTTATTATGTAACACCCCGCTATTTCATGAAAATCAGAGTGCGTTTTTTTGCAAACCTTTTTAAATAAAATACTGATTAGTTTGCAAAATACTAATTCAGAGTGCTACCATAATACAGGACTTACTTTCAAATCAGACTGTTTTTAAGAAAATGGACTCACAGTCTGCTGACTGGTCAAAAGGGCTAAGTTTGACAAACAGTGAAAAGTCAGCGGAAACTGTAGTGGCAAAACATAATAACAGTGTTGCGATCATGTAAATAAGTTTACAGAAGACAATAGCAGCACTGCTATGCTAAATTCAAACTGTACAAAACATAATTTAAACTTTATAAGCATAGCTCCCGTATAATTTAAACTTTATAAGCATACTCCTGAACTGATCGCCATCTCACACCTCCGGACCGACTCCATGACCTGAAAAACATAATAAAAGTGGGGCGTGAGCACTAAAGTCCACTGTGCTCCGTAGGAACTCATAATAAGGTAAACAATGAAAATAATTACAATAACATGATCCTGGCATATATAACTGAACTGAACTGAAACCGGTACTGAATAATCATGATCTGATACTGATATCGTGATAGTCATCACCTGCTTGATACCTGAACATCTGCCAGCATAAATGTCGGACACCATGTGCACACTCTAGTGGGCAGACTAAGGCCACTAGAACACAGAATGGACCGGCGAGCATTCCGAGCGGATACTGATAATGCATACCTCAAACATGGTAGAATAATTATAATCAATGTAATACCTAGTCTGAGTCCCCACCTGATCCGTCTGAATAAAAAGGTAGTGCTGATAATCGTATCCTGATCAAACTGAAAATAATATAAACAATTACTAAATACTATGCTCAAACTGATCAAAATAGCTGTTTAAATATGTTAAGATGCTCTACTGAACTTGAAATGATATTTGGACTGAACCGGAACTGATATGAATTTACTAAACTGAACCGGACCCGGAATTTAATTAAAAAATAGGACCTAAACAGGAACCGGGATTTAAATATATAAAATATAGGTCGAACCTGTCTAAAATGTTCTGAAC